ATTACAACAACACAACTGGAAACAATCTAAATATCCGAAAGGGACATCTAATAAATTACACGTCCAAAGACAAACTAATTAACTGTTTATTACAACAACACAACTGGAAACAATCTAAATATCCGAAAAGGACATCTAATAAATTACACTGCGTATATAAATACATATAATGGCACGTAACTATTAGCAATATTACTATGGAAAAATAGCTAACGATATGAGAAACGTTCACTATATATTGTTTTAAAGAGATATACTGCACAAAAATATATGTGTAAATTCACAAAAGTATTAACAATATTATATCCCTAAACAGTAAACTCTTACGGACAGAGAGAGTTTTATTCCCCCACTGATTCCCTATTGTCCAGCATAATGCCCGGCACACAGCAGGTGCTCAATAAATGTCTGATAGAAGAATGAATGGAGAAATACAAAAATTAGTTTCTCCACATTGTCAGGTTGGGTATTTATACTTTCTTCTTTGTGCTTTTCTCTATTTCCCAAATTTTTCTCTATTGGTGATGATGTATTTATTCTAGTAATTAGGAAAAAAATACTAAAAGAAACTAAATACTTTTTTTAACTAATTAGAACCTTCCTATTAATTCTATGTACCTCATGTGAACAGGAATGGCGTCCTTGTTGGCCTGGCTTGGTCCCCCCCACGAGGGCACAGAGCAGTGGAAACCTGGTCACTAGTGATACCCACAGGCTGCATAACCTTTCACAAAAGGAAAGGGAAACATTTCCAACAGTTAAGCTAGGAGGTGGCTCCTGCGGAGGGGCCAGACTCAGTCTATGTGGGGGGATGCTTGGAGGAGGGAAGAGGAGGGTGGCAGAGGGTGCGAGCTGTAGGCCTACTGGGACCTACCGATGATGTAGGAGAGGATTAGGTTCCAGCCGGTGATAAAGGCCCAGAGCTCCCCCACGGTCACGTAGCTGTAGAGGTAGGCCGAGCCCGTCTTTGGGACCCGAGCACCAAACTCGCCATAGCACAGGCCAGCCAGCACGGAGGCCAGCGCAGCGATCAGAAAGGAGATGACAATGGCAGGGCCTGCGTCCTCACGGGCCACAGCTCCAGCCAGGACGTAGACACCAGCACCCAGCGTGCTGCCCACCCCAAGGGCCACCAGGTCAAAAGTGTTCAGGCAGCGGGACAGCCGGCTCTCCTCCCGGCTGCAGTCCACCACCTTCCGCCGCAGCATCTGGCGACCGATGCTGAGTAGCACTTTGCACCCCATGTTGCTGTGTCGATCTGTCGGAAAAGAGCACAGGGGTCTCGTCACTGCCACTCATTCCGCCCACTCGCCTCATCTCACTGCAGTATCGAAACACGGACAACGACCAGGTCCTGTGTAACGACTCTTTACTAACATGTTTGAATTAATAAGGTTCCAGTTGAACTCCACCACCGCCTGTCAGGAGAACACGTGGCTTCCCTAGTCTCAGGTCTCAAGAGCATGTACAGAAACATCCCAGGAGGCCAGAACCCCCAGCTGACTTTACTGTGAGGCCTCTGAGCGTCCACATTGATTTAAGCGCCTCTTAACTGGGCAGAAATGAGGTAGCATAGGAAACACAAATAAATGGCACTGTTCCTACCCTCAGTAATCACATCACTTACCAGGGAAAATGAGGCCTCTGAGCGTCCACATTGATTTAAGCGCCTCTTAACTGGGCAGAAATGAGGTAGCACAGGAAACACAAATAAATGGCACTGTTCCTACCCTCAGTAATCACATCACTTACCAGGGAAAACAAGACTTTATTCCAAGTATGCTTTAATGAAAGGAAAACCAAACCATATCTTAATTTAATTATTAAAACTCAGAGGCCCCGAACAGCAATGACAATGCTTTTTAGATCTTTCTAGGATTCTCTGAGGACGAGGAGCAAGTTGTTTCCATGTTTAAGTTAACACAGAGTTAGGTCCAGAGCGGAAAAATGTTGAGTATTACAAATGAGGGTTTTTTGTAACTGTTACTGCTCCAGAAAGCACTTTTCTTCTGGGTCAAAATGCTAACCCAATGTGCTGAAACACTCCTGAGGACTTATCAAGAGAGGGACGTGTTCATTCACACCCTGGCTCGGGCATCCGCCGTCACAAGGAGCACACCCCGCGAGTGTCCAGGGTGCCTCACACGCCAGGGAACCTTGAGACTGCCTCCCTGTGACGCCTGGGCCCACCTTGCCCAGGCGGGCAGGCACTATCAGCGATTCCTTGGCCAGTATGGGCCAGCGGCCACTCTCGAGGAGGTACAGCTGCACCCCCACTCCAAACGGGTGGGCTCTGCAGAGAGACCCCCTTCCAGAGGGCGTGCGGAGAGAGAAACTCTGCAGTGAAGAAGCCCGAATACCTTGGCCAGGAGATCCAGGCCCCCAAAACAGTAACAAGCCACGCTGACTGCTGGCCGCTGACGGGCAGGCACTTCACCTCTACAGGCTTCCTCCCCAAATCCATAACCCCAGGCTAATCACGGGAAAACCATCAGACAGATCAGAGCCGAGGAACATTCTGCAAAATGCCTGACCAGCACTGTCCAACTAACCAAAAACCAGGGAAGTCTGAGAAACTGTCAGAGCCAAGAGGAGCCTGAGGAGGAGTGGCCACTAAATGTCATGTGGGGTCTCATCTGGGATTCCAGAACAGAAAAGGGACATCAGAGGAAAACTAAGGAAATATGAATAAAGTATGGACTTTAGTTAACAATAACATATCAGTACTGGCTCATTAGCTGTAACTAATGTACCACACCAATGCAGACACACGTCAGGACCAGCAACAACAGTGAGGGTACGTGGGAAGTCTCTGTGCTACCTTCACGATTTTTCTGTAAATATAAAACTATTTTAAAACAAAGAGTTTCTTTCTTTTATTTATACAATGCAGTTGATTTTCATGTCCCTTTACCAAATCCTCCTTTCCCCCCTCCCCCCTCCCCCCATCAACATCATATCTGTTTAATTGTCTTAACAAGTTCAAGGAATTGTTGTGATTGTTGTGTCTTCTTCCCTCCCCCTGCCGCTTCTTTGTTTGTATATTTACTTATTTATTTTTATAGCTCCCACAAATAAGTGAGAACATGCAGTATTTCTCTTTCTGTGTCTGGCTTATTTCACTGAATATAATTTCCTCTAAGTCCATCCATGTTGCTGCGAATGGGAGTATTTCATTCTTTCTTACAGCAGAGTAGTACTTCATTGTGTAAATGTACCACATTTTCCTTATCCACTCTTCCTTTGATGGGCATTTAGGCTGGTCAGAGTTTCTTTAAAAAAAACAAAAAAACAATGTATGCAGAGACAAGCTGTCATCATGGCTTCTGGCTACTGAGGTACAAAAAAATACCACTGATTTTTCATCTTGATCATCAATTAGTATTTATTGACCTAACTTAGCTGCAATTAAGTCACTAGAAAACAAAAGTCTCGGAGGAGATCACAAGTCTAGAAAAGTCTGCGCCTAACCAACTTAAAACACTTCTCTGCCTGCCCACACCTTTGCTCCCTCTGCAGCTGGGTGCGGGGCCATCAGGCACCCCACCTGGGCCTCAGGGCTCAGGTCCCCTCTGCCTTGGTCACATCACTGGCCGGCTCCAGGTCACGGAGGAACTGGGGGTGGTCCCTTCTGTATTTTATCTGACCGGCCAAGAGAAGAGAAAAATCTCACAACTCATAAAAATTTTTAGTTAGAATGGGGATTAAAAATCATCTGACCCCATCTCTTGTTATACAGATGAAGAAAAATAACTCAGACAGTCGAGTGTCAAACCAGGTCAGGAGCTCCAAAGCACAGTGGCTGAGCCCCCTCTGGAGCGCATGCGGCATTGCAGGAGGGACGGAAATGACATCCCGGCGTAGCAAGGTGGGGGCCAAGTGGGGAAGAGACAAGGAGGAGGTGAGGAGGAGGCTGTCTGGGGAACGGCAGGCAAGTGGGCTGCAGAGCAAACAGGAGGAAGACAGGCACAGAGGTCCATGCTCCCCGTGTGTTTTCAGCCCCACTCTGGCCTGTTCCTGAC